ATGCTGTTCTATCCTGTGCCAACCTAGCCATCTCAAACACACTTATTCCCACCGCTCCAGTCACGGAATCTATCCATCTCATAGAGGGTATTCCTCTCCTTCGCTTCCCCTCCACTCTGCCAAACATGATGACCCTTTCCAAGGACCAGTCCCTCCTTGCAACATGCCCAAAATATGTCAGACGAAACTTCAGAATCCTTGACTCCAGGGAACAATCTGGCTTCACCCTCTTCAGGACAAACCTGTTTGTTCTCCTAGCAGTCCATGGTATATTCAACTACATGGCTTAAAATTATCAAGCGAGTGCATCAGGGTTGTATTCTCTCTCCAGACCTATTCAGTCTACATGTTGAGCAAATTGTTTGAGAAGCTGGACTCTGTGAGGAGAAATGTGGCATCAGGATTGAAGGGAGACTCATTATTAACCTGTGTTACGCAGATGACACAACCTTGCTTGCTGAAAGTTAGGAGCCCTTGTAGCACTTCCTGCAGAAGATCCAGGAAGGCAGACTTCAATAGAGATTTCATCTCAATGTCTCAAGAAGACAAAAATTCTCACTGCTGGACCGATAGGCAATATCATGATAGATGGAGAAAAGATTGAAACTGTCAACAATGTCATCTTACTTGGATCCATACTGAACAGCCTTTGTACCGCTAGTCAGAAAATCAGGAGACATGTTGCATGGGAAAGTCTGCAGTTAGGGACCTCTCCAAACTATTGAGGAGAAGTAATATCAGTTTGAGAACTCAGGTGCATCAGATTCAGACTTGGCCTTTCCGATCACTTGCTATGCATCTATGAATAAGGATGACAGAAGAAGAACTGATGCCTTTGAGCTGTGGTGTTGGAGAAGAGTGCTGAACATCCAAATGTTCCAAATATGTCTTGGAAATGGTGCAGCCAGAGTGCAGGTAAAGGGGTGAAGGTCAGTTACTGGGCAGCTCCACAGTCGGTCCCAGCCATTCTTGGTAAAACACAGCCTGGGTGGGACTCCTCAGCCCAGTGAATCCACCAATACTCATTGTAACCTTATGAACAACAGATCTGAAACTTACTCTGTCCTACTCTATCTGTGTCATCTCTTTCATACATATGTTTGCAGTGGTGGTGTTATGTGCCATTGAGTCACCTGCAACTCATAGCGACCCTATGTACAACAGTTCTGAACCTTGCCCTAGTCTGAGCCAGTCTCTGACCTCAACACACCTAATCCTCCTGCCCCAGTTACCACGTCAGTCCATCTCATCTGGGGTCTACCTCTCCTGCGCTGTCCCACCACTCCTCCAAGCATGATGTCCTTCTCCAAGGGACTGATCCCTCCTGGCCGTGTGCCCAAAGTATGTGAGATTGAGCTCCACAATCCTTGCTTTCAAGGAGCAACTTGGTTTCAACCTAAGACAGATCTCTTTTTTCTCTTGGCAGTCCATGGTGCATGTTCAGTACTCTTGTCTAGCACCACAACTGAAAGGCATATCTATTCTTTCATCGCTAGTTATTGTCCAGCTCTTTGATGCATAGCAAGTAATTGCAAAGACTGCAGTGTGGATCAGGTACACCTTAGACTCTAGACTGACAGCATTGCTCTTTAGCACTTTAGAGAGGTCCTTGACAAGAGGCAGCTAATCCCAAGTCCCTGGGTCAAATGTCAGGCTAGAGGCTTCCTCTGATTCATGGAACTGATGAACCCAAGACCAACAGGGTGGGCAACTTTACTTCCGTACTAACTGTTCTTACTGTTTGGGTGGTTTATACTGTTTTGTTTTGGTTTTTTTTAAATCTGTGTGCAAGGAAACATAAGCATAATATTTTATTTATAACCATAAAAGAAGTGCTTTTATAAAAATATGATGGAAAAACTCATCTCTTCTTTTCTAGACATCCAGAAAGTTAACGATCACCCTCTTGGGCTCTTGCAAAATGAAAGAAGATTGGACAGAATGGAACAGTTCTATAAACATAATGTACAGAAAAATACTGTTCATCAGAACAAAAACCATTTTCTAAGAGAAAACCATGGTGTGTTTCAGTTACATGGAAGAATGGAGAAATCAAATATAATGATACCAACAGTCGACCAGACAAGCAACAGTATATTAAAGAACTCTGCTGAGCGTAGTCAAGATAAGAAAACCTTTCTCTTTGAGGAAAATGAGCAGTTTTTCCCAGAAATCCTTGAGAGTAAAACCCCCAGCAGCACCATGACTCGACTCAGCATCCATCAGGAAACACGCAAGCTAGACAACAAATCCCACGTGTGTCGTGACTGTGGGAAAGGCTTCGCCCAGAAGGCGGACCTCACTGTTCATCAGCGAACTCATACGGGAGAGAGACCCTTTGCGTGCAGGGAATGTGGGAAAGGCTTCATCAGGAAGAATGACCTCACTGTCCACCAGCGAATTCACACTGGGGAGAGACCCTATAAATGCCAAGAATGTGGCAAAGGCTTCATCCAGAAGACGGAGCTCACCACCCACCACCGAACTCACACAGGAGAGAAACCCTATGTGTGTGCTGAGTGTGGGAATGGTTTCAGTCAGAAAGGAAGTCTCGGTATTCACAAGCGAACTCATACAGGAGAGAAGCCCTGTGTATGTGGTGAATGTGGGAAAGCCTTCATCCATAAGGGAAACCTCAACATTCATCAGCGAACTCATACTGGAGAGAAACCCTATGTGTGCGATGAGTGTGGGAAAGGCTTCATCCACAAAGGGCATCTTAGGAGTCACCAGCGAACCCACACTGGTGAGAAACCCTATGTGTGCAGTAAGTGTGGAAAAGGCTTCATCCTCAAAGGAAACCTCACCGTTCATCAACGAACTCACACTGGAGAGAAGCCCTACGTGTGCAGTGAATGTGGAAAACACTTCAAACACAAGAGAAATCTCGTTTTTCATCAGCAAACTCATACTCGAGGGAAACTCTATATAGGCAGTGAGTTTGGTACAGACTTCAACCAGAAGTCATGCTTCTTCCCACGTCCAAGACTGCACACAGCGAAGACTTCCTTTTCATGCGGTGAATGTGGAAAATCTTACACCCAGCAGTCAAGTCTGAATAGACATCAGAAAATCCACAGAGAAGGAACCCTTTCATGGCAGTGAATACCAGATAACCTTCAGATGAAGCCAGAACTCACTGTCCATGTAAGATCTCATGAGAATGAGACATCATATACCTACAAGGAATAGGAACACATTTTTGCCTCTGCTTCTAACTTTAATTCACAGCAAAAAGCAAACCAAAAAACCACCACAAAAGTGAGAAGTATGAGTGAGGTTCCATCCATGTGGGAAGTCCTTCTACAAGAAGTGTCATCTCACCACAGAGCAGTGTTGCCCTGCAGGAGAAAAGCCCTGATAACACAATGACCATTCAGACGTGTCCCGTTGCAGCCGTGACCTCAGTAAACATCAGTGACCAACTAACAGGAATATAACCTCGTAGGGCAGCCTGTTGCTAGATTTGAACCCCCTGAGGCAATAGAGAATTTATTCAGCAGCACACCAACCTTATGAATGACGTGACCATGGTAGTGTCTTCCCGGTCCAATGTAGAGACTGGACAAGCTGGATGGAGTCTTTCTGTAGAATCCGTTTTGATATGAAGATATAAGATAATGTTAACGGACGCACACGCTCATCAGTTGTTCTGTTGTACCAATAAAAAGAATGAAAATCTGAATTAATACCTATATTAAATGCCAAATTGAAAATTCATATGAATGAAAAAGACTATTTTAAAACTCAAAGTAAATAAACAGTATACATTTTTGAAACAGAAGATATCATTAACTAGAATGTTCAGAAAATGTTTGACATGGAAAATATTGTTAAATAGAATATTGTTCTGTATGCAAAACCACATAGGAGGTGGCTGACAGGATAGAGGCAATACAGAATTGAATGGATCTGGGGCATTTATATGAATTCAGTCTCCCCAGATAAATGTGAAAGATTAACCAAAACCCAGACAGTCTACCATACATAATACAAAGTAATCTTTTGCAGAGGGACACATGAAACAGTATCCTACTGAGTCTGTTGATTCATGTAAGAGATACTTTTCCTATCCACTTCCTAAACAACATGCCCCCAGAAACTATGAACTTTGATAAATGTTGATAGTTGGAGTGGTTTCAAGCCTTTTGTTCATAGGGTCCCTAGGAGTCATGCTTGACTCAAATGCAATCATCAACAACAACAACATACTCCCTCTATACCTGGTGCTGATTCCATGAGCTGAGGAAGGGAGTGGTGAATAATAAAAAGTTCATGTCCTCTTGGCGAGACCATGAAGTAGACTCATGGTTGAATGCAATCTTGCCAATCCTGCCAATCTAGTCAAAGGGCATAGGGTCCACATCAGGTGGCATAAACCTGGAATAATTTCTACAAGGTATTTCTGTTCTGGGGCACCAGGAGTGAAAAAAAAATGTCCAACCTTCTCTGACCGCCTCCTCCCCAAATCTCATTGCCATTAACTTCATTCTTCATCGTGGTGTGGAAAGCAGTTAAAACACCACTAGGCATATGGGTAATTCATAAATATCGTTCCTTTTGTTGAGAAGAGGAAAAGAATTTGACGAGGAATTAAGAGAGTGG